TCTCTGTTCCTCAAAAAGGGCCGTGTGCTGGGAGGCTTGGGGTTGTTTTTTTTGTTTGTTTTTGGCTGATTGAAACTATTTCTGTCTACAAACCCTTGTCTCAAACTCCCTGAAAGGATAATATTTCCAGTGTTGTCATTGTGAACTCCCCTTGCTTCCACCCGTGTTTCAGACGTGGGTTCAGAGCTTTGCACTGGGAATACTGGGAATGTGTGTATTTGTGTCCATCAGCCAAGAGTGTGGTCGCTGCAAACGCTGGGGTGTTTTGGGAACACTGCAGTGGGTGGGATCCCTGATCCTGGGTGCCAGGGCACCTCTGCCAGGGGATCCAGGCAGGTCCTGTGTGCTGGGAGGGGCTGCCAAACATTGTCCTGCCTGGAGCAGTGGGGCAGGGCAGGGCAGGGCAGACCCGGGGCTGGGCACTCTGAGTCCTGGGGCAGTGTCGGGGAAGTCCATCAGCCCCACCAGCTACAGCCCACGGGGGAGGGCTGGGGGGCTGTGGATGGAGACCTTTCCCTGCTCTGCCATCCCTGGCACTTAACCCTTGCTCTGCCCTCTGTGAGCTGTGTGTGTAGTTCCCTTCTCCTTTAGTAAGGATGCAGATCCCCCCGGATCAGCCAGATCTTCCACGTTTATTTTCTCCCTGTGCAGATGGCTGACAGACCTTTTCACTGCTCATCATATGCCTGCCTGTCTGTCGGCAGGAGCTCTGCAAACAGTGCCCGGGAGATGCTGTGCTTTGGGAGGGGGTTTCCTTTGGCATGCTTTGCTCTGAAGCCTCATGGAGCTGCTTGTTCTTCCGTGGGCTCCAGCTGATCATTCCTGAGGTGGAAAGGTGCTGTGTGGGGTGGGAGGGTGGAGGGGAGAGCAGGGCTCTTCCTTCCAGGAGCAGCTGCAGGTGGATGGACGGCTGGACACAAAATCCTGTGGAGTGAACCAGCTCCTGTCCTTCGGCTGAGCTCTGGAGCCTCAGGGAGGCAATTTGTTGGAGCTCACTGGCTCTTGGTAATTATTTTAGTAGAAACAATCAGATCCCGTTTCATCCAGAAATGAAAAGGCTGGAAGTGTAGCAGTCCAGCTTCTGGATGTGACTTTGGAGTCCTTGCCATGTATGTTGCTCCAGAGGGATGGAGCTTCCTGTTTCTAGCCCTGCAGTCTTGGTTTAACAATGAAATCAGGGTCACTGTAATTGTGATGTTTGATGTGCACACATTGACTGGGGCAGGCAGGCTCCTCTTTTCCAGGGGTGTCATCCTACCACAGTGGGAGAGCACAGTGGAGTGAGAGGAGCTCCCGGTGCTGCCTGTGCCCTGCAGAGCCCGGGGGTCCTGGTGACCCCAGTGCAGCTGAGGATTAAAGGCCTCTGCCTGACCAGTGTTAGAGACCAACCCCAGCAACACATTCATTTCTGTTTGTAGCAAAAATTGATATACGTTTTTCTATTTCACTTCATGAAATTAAGATTTAATAATATGATTCTTAAGATTTGAAGTTTGTAAAAAAGGCAGGATAATTATGTTTCAGTAGCATTTCCAAGGACCCTAAATGAATTATTTGTGTTCAGCCCCTTTTCTGCTCCCAGGTGAGAATGGCAGGAGGTGACTGTTCCAAGCCTTTCTTCCCAGTGAATTTCATCCATTTGCTGGCTACAGACATCTCAGAATTGCTGTGATTCCCAATCCCTCTTCTCCCTTCGGTCCCAGAGATACAATTTGCAGGTGCTTCCCCTGTCCCTGCAGCTGTGAAGTGATGCTCATTAAGGAACACAATAGGAAGTATTGCTTGTGCTTTAAGTGACCTCCCTGCCGGTGCAGCCTGTCCAGGACTCGATGGTTGGCAAATCAGGTATTAGAAGAAGTCTTTCCTCTGTGCATGCTGCTCGTGGAATGTAAGTGCTCATATTAACGTAGGTTTACTCAAGCTTTCTGGAAGTTGGGTAGTTAAGAGCTGGTGTGGAGGGGAAGTCTTTTATTGGAGGCTTTGTAAGAATGTGATTCTGCTTTGGGTGTGTCAATACAGCCCTTGCAAAAGAGGGAACAGACAGGGCAAGGTTTAGGAACCCCGAGCCCCGGAGGGCAGTGCAGTGCAGGATCTCACAGGGGCGAGTGGCTGCTCAGGAGAACGACAAATTAAATTTACCTTAGAGAAATGTTAAATTGTTGCTGTGAAAAACTATCACATTCTCAGGGCCCACCATTTTTACCTCTTACAGATCTGTATAAATTATTCAATTTGTAGAGAGGGGTGGCACTGATGGGCACCAGGCAAAGGTGTGGTCTTGGCCTTGCAGTGGAAACCTGCAGGTTGAGGGGGCAGCTCAGGGCTGTGTCTGTGGGACTGTGCTGCTCGCTGGGTACCACTCCTGGGGATCACAGGAATGAAACTTCATTGGATGGCAGTTGGCATCTCATGGTTGGCTTTCCTTTTTTTAACTTACCAATACTAAAGCTGTGCCACAGAATCCAGAGGCGAGAGAAACTTTGGAGAATGAATATTCAGTGAGCTCTGAGCTCCAACTGAAACTCTTCCCCCAGCCCAGGCATTCCCGATGTCTCTCCCGTGTAGGTTGCCTGGCATTTGCTGAGAGCAGCACTCGCTCTGTTCTCCCCTCAGTGAGAGCAGGGGGAGTGTTTTTTCTTGTCGGTCCGTCTGGTTTTCCCTCAAAGCTTCTGGAAATTTAAATTTTGCTGTACCCTCTTTTAGCATCCCTACTCACTCAGGAGTTCCAGCCAAATGTATTTTGGGAGGAATAAAACGCACAGTTGGCGATGCCTTTTTAAAAATCTAATTAGGAGTTAAAATGGTATCTGGTTTATTTGGCCCTGTCTCTGCTGTGTTTTAGTTCTGTAAAGCATCAGAACTCAGCCTTATCATCTGGAGGGGCAAAGGGGGGCCGAAGGTGGGCGAGGAGCACACCCAGCTGCTTTGTCATTAATTAATTATGGTCTTAAGCTGTGCCAGGGGAGGTTTAGGTTGGATATTAGGAGGAAATTCTTTCCAGAGAGGGTGATCAGCCATTGGAATGGGCTGCCCAGGGAAGTGGTGGATTCTCCATCCCTGGAAGTGTTTAAGATGAGACTGGATGTGGCATCAGTGCCATGGGCTGGGAACCACGGCGGGGTTGGATCAAGGGTTGGACTTGATGATCTCGGAGGTCCCTTCCAACCCAGCTGATTCTGTGATTCTGTGATTCTAATTGGGTATTAATTAGCTGTTAATGCTGGTGGGTTTTGGCCATGGAAGCTCTGGCTCTGAAGTGTCAGAGCATTAAAGGAAGAAGTGTTTGGGGTGTTTGCCTCCTGCTTGTCCTGCTGGAGAGGCTCCAGCTCCAGTGTTGGTGAGCTCCTGCTGAGGGACACCACTTGTGCTGGGGTTTCAGGCGTTGGCTTTGTCCTCCCCGTGGGAGTTAGGGACTCCCAAAATCAAATCCCTCTGAGGACCATGGTGGCCCCCTCTGCCTCTGTTTGTATCATGTCATTTCAAGGGAAGTGATAACAAAAATGGGAATTCCCACTGTGGGTTGGGCCTTGTGACTCCAAGTTCCACCTGTTGGCTTTAAATCTCCACGGCTTGACTCGAAGAGCGTTTTCTGTCTTCTCATGGTGGGTCTGCTCACACTGTCCTGGCAGGTCTCCTTGGTGACACTGTCTGTGCCACCTCCCAGCTTTCTAAACAGTTGTATTTTGCTCAGTTTATGAAAAAAATACTACCTAAGGGCAACTTCAGCACTGACTCTTGTGATTTGTGGCTCAAAAACCAGTTTACATCAAGCCACACTTCCCGAAAGACAGCTCAGGTGGGGGCTGGAGCAGCCCTTTCCCAAAGAGAGATCAGGGAATGCAGGGAAAAGGTATCAGGCAAGTGAGCAATGAGAGAAAATATCTTCGTATCTGTTATGTTTGTTTTGTTCTCTCAGTCAGTTTGATATATGCACTTTGCTTCCTCTTCCCAAATGGTTTAATTTTATTCATTTGCCTTAGCAGCATGTTTTCACTTTGGAAAATCTGGGTGGGAATTCCCTGATGGCTGTAACTCATCCAACAGAGGCTCCTTCTGGGAGAAGGGGCTGATCAAAGCTGAGAATGTGCTGCTTGGAGAGGAGGGGAGCCCTGGTGCTGGGATGGCAGAGATACTCTGCAATTTAATTTGGGAGATGGAATATCTTCCTGGCCTGGAGCTGGCTGGAAATAGCAAAGCAGTCTTGTCACTGGCTGGATATAGGAACTCCTTGGATTGTTTCTGTACAGAATTTTAGTTCTTTCCCATTTTATCCTTAGGTGATATTTAGGTTCTTTTTAAGGAAAACCAAAACCGCTCTTTCAGGCTTTTACAGTTTTGGGGATCTGTAGACAAAACCTTCCAGACTGTCAGTGCTGGGGGTCTGAGACTTTCTGTGCTGTCAGGTGTGTGTGGGTTCCTTTAGCAACTGATTTTTAGTAGTTTTTTATTCTTAACAGTAAGATCTCAGAGAAAACCCTTTCATTCTGATGGCTTCACTAAACACTAAATGAAAAGCAACACAGAGCCTGCTGTGTCTCCTTCCCCTTTGGGGTGGACGTTCCATCGTTTTTACATCCTGTTTAGAGTTTCCCTCTGCTCTATTGCCATTTGTTTTTCCTAATTCCATTAAAATCTCTGCAGTAACTTGTCATGGGAGTTTATAGTCGCACTTTTGGTAAAGTCCTAGAAATTTGTGTGTTTCATAAGTTTCCCTGGACAAAACTGAAGGGGACAAGGGGGTTGGTGGTGTTGGAGCTGAGAGTGTTTGTAAAGGCTGCAGCACACAACCAGTGATGGTGGGATGGGTTTCTTATTTAATGTTTTACAAGCAGATGGGCAGCCATGAGGTTTGTACAGGCCGTCACTGGGATGGGACGTTTTCTGGTGACCAGCTGAACTTTCTGAGGCAATTTTTTTTGACAGTACAAAAAATTAATCCCCTGCTGTCCAGGAAACCTGCCTTGGGTCCATCGTAATCTTCCTCTTTCTTTTTCCCTTAGGAAATTTGCTACAAGACCCTATTGCTCCCACCAACTCCACATGCCAGCACTATGTCTGCAAAACATGTAAAGGCAAGAAGATGATGATGAAACCGTCGTGTAGCTGGTGCAAGGACTATGAGCAGTTTGAGGAGAACAAGCAGCTGAGCATCCTGGTGAACTGCTACAAGAAGCTGTGCGAGTACATCACGCAGACACCCCTGGCCCGGGACATCATCCAGGCCGTGGATTGCTCGGCAGACCTGCTGGCCCTGCTCAAGGATGGGTCCCCCCTGCACGAGGACACGGAGAAACCTCCCGAGGCGGCCCTGGCTCTGTGTCTGACACATTCCCCGGTCCCCTCCACCTCGGAGCTGCCCAGCGACGCCCCGGCGGGGTTCCCCTCGGTGCCCGAGGCCACGCACAACGCGGAGGGCCGGGGCTCGGCCATCAACGGGCTGCCCAGCTGTAACGGGCTGCCGGGGGAGAAGCTGGGGGTGAGCCTGCCGTCCCCAGAGCACGCCAGCGCCATCGACGTCTGCGGCGCCGCAGAATACATCAAGACGGAGGAGCTGCCGGGGGGGCTGCAGCCCGTGTGCGACCCCGTGTCGGGCAGCGACCTGTGCCCCGCGGGCATCGACATCTGCGGCTTCAGCGAGGACATGAAGCCGGGCGGGTCGCTGCTGCTCAGCGTGGAGGAGGTGCTGCGCAGCCTGGAGACCGTGTCCGGCACCGAGGTCTGCGACTCGGGCCTGCAGCCCGGCCTGGAGGCAAACATGGCCAACGGCCCCTTCCTGCAGCTCTCCCCCCCTCCCCTCAGCCATAACATTTTCATGTCCACGGAGGCTTCTCCTCACGGCATCTCCTGCACGGCGGCCACGCCCAAGGTGGTGAAGTTGAACAGGAAGCGGTCCCGCTCCGAAAGCGACAGCGAGAAGGTCCAACCTCTGCCCATCTCCAGCATCATCTGCGGCCCGACCCTGGGAGCGTCGGCTCCCGTGACGGTGAAACAGGAGAACAAAATGTCTCTGCAGCCCATTGCGACTGTACCCAACGGAGGCACCACCCCCAAAATCAGTAAAACTGTGCTCCTGTCTAACAAAAGCATGAAAAAGAACCTAGAACATGCCCCTAAGAAATCCCACCCGAAAGCCAAACCGGGGGTGCTGAAAACGAAAGACAAGGCAAAGGAGAAAGTTCCCAGCAGTAACGTTATGCCAGGAAGCCCAACAAAAACTGTGTATAAAAAGCCACAAGAAAAGAAAGGGTGTAAATGTGGTCGTGCCACCCAAAATCCAAGTGTTCTTACCTGCCGTGGCCAACGCTGCCCTTGCTACTCGAACCGCAAAGCCTGCCTTGACTGCATATGCCGTGGCTGCCAAAACTCCTACATGGCCAACGGGGAGAAGAAGCTGGAGGCGTTTGCAGTGCCAGAAAAGGCCTTGGAGCAGACCCGGCTGACTTTGGGCATTAACGTGACGAGCATTGCGGTGCGCAATGCCAGCACGAGCACCAGTGTAATCAATGTGACAGGGTCACCAGTAACGACGTTTTTAGCTGCCAGTACACACGATGAGAAAAGTTTGGATGAAGCTATAGACATGAGATATGACTGCTGAGTCTGTCTTTCTTTTCCCTGCCCTCCGTAGGGGAACTGCTACAGGTTTAAGGCAGCTATGGTTCTGTTTAACTTGCTGGAGCTCCTGCGTTTAGATCACTTGTATCAAGTGTTTTTCATTGCTATGTTCTGTGTATTAGTGTCTGGGAAATAGTTGCAGATAATGGAGGAGTTACCCTAAAACTGTTTTTAGTTCTTACAGCACCTCATAGTTTGAGATCGATTGCTGATGTAAATGATTTTATCACAAGATCTTTGACAGGAATATATTGACCTCATTGTACTTGCTCGTGCTTTGTGCTCAGTCAAAGCTTCGGCTCCGGTGTAGAGCAGTGGCACCCGGTTAGTCCATCTCAACGGGGCTACACTGGGGTGTGGAAGAGTGACTGTTGGTGGGTTACAGTCACCGTGACCAGGGAGTGACCCGGTACTCCTGTGGGAAAGGCAGGAGGAGGACACAGTCTGGCAAGGGTAGGTACTGGCTGCCTGGGGGAACTGGGTATCTGCTCTAGGGAGCAGCTCACAATTACAGACAGGATTAGTAAATACATTACAAAGCTGACAGGCCAGAAGGCAGCTCAGGCTGCAGGCAGGGGCAGGAGGGTCGGGCAGGTACCAGGTGAGACTGCTCGGATACACCATCCTGGGAACAACATCACCCCTGGCAGCTCCAGGGCCATGTCCCTGCTCAGTCACCCCTCTGTGCCAGCTCCCCCTGGGTGATGTCACTTTGGCTTTGGCAGGGGGAGAACAGCGCTTGGACCCAGCCAGGGCTCCACTTTTGGTAGCACCATCCTCTCCCTTTCCTGCTCCCCCTGTTTTTTTCTTGAGTTCCTGCTGGTTTTCCTGCTGTTGCTTCTAGAGAAGAGAAGGGGGGTTGTGGGTTACAGAGAGACCCCTTGGCTGATTTTCCCCCCTCAGTGCCAGGATACAGAGATTCCACAGCACTGGGGGACTTTGATCCAGTTTGTACCATGACAGCTCCTCCCTGTGAGGGGAGTTCTCCACTGACAGGCACCTTCCAGCCCGGGCAGAGGATCGATGGCTGTCCAAGGTCAAACATTCTGGGTGTTTGCTAAACACAATAAGCTATGTATAGCTCACTCCACCCCAAATCTATCTCATTTTCTGCTAAAATGCTAAAAGTAGCTTTTGAAGGTCAGTGCTTTTCAACCAACCTGGGCCAAAAGGCTCGAAAATGGAAACATCACACAAAAGTTGTCAAGAGCTTATCTGGAAAAGTGTTACAGTGAAAGAATTCCTGTCAGGAACTCGGTTTTACACAAAAATGGTTGATTCCAGCACAATCCCTAAGCAGGGGGCCCAAGAGTTTAGCTGTGCAGTTACAGAAGTCAGACTGCTTTGGGAAGGCAGAAATCTCTCCTCTTGCAGTGATACAGCACAACCTGAGGGTGGGCTGACTGGAACACGAGCGTTTCTGTGTCATCTCAAAGGCAATTCCTGTTTCAAGAGCGTGTTGAGCAGCGTGTGGGTTGTTGAGTTCCTCCCCTGCTCCCACCTTCCCTTCCCCGCAGGCCCCGCGGGCGGTGCCGGGGCTTTGACCTGGCACAAAGCACGTACAGTGGCGGTTCCTCACCGAGACATGAGCAAACCCCTTTGGACACAAATGGCACCTCCTTTTGTTTTGTAGTGTACCATGGTGTCATTTTCTGTGAATGTGGTCAGAGCTTTTTGTTGGTTTTGGTTTGTTTCTCCCCCCGTCTTTTCTGTGGGGTGGGCAGGGTGGGGGGTTAAAGCCATAGGAAGAAAAATGTGATGTACGTGTCCAGTCTGTACTTTTTTGTTTTTGTTTTGCAAGAAGAGTTGAAAAATATTTTTGATAATGAGTAAATGGTGGAAAATGCTTCTTAGTATTCTTGTCTTTATTTGCCAACCCGAGTACCTAAGATCTGTGTTTTTTAGCCCTCCTGAGATTTAACGATGTCCTATTAAAATGTATTTAGTTAAACTTGTATGTGATTTTTGTGTTGACCCAGAAGGATCCTACCAGTTCCTAATTTGGTGGTTTGATCGTGACCTACTAATGTAAATCTGTTTATTAGTCCACTACGTGTAAGCGAAGCAGCCCCCGGAGCTGGGAGTGAACTGCACAGCATGGGTTGTTTGGGAATGCTTTTGCAGAGCTGTTAAGTTTTGCTGAGATTGTTGATGGTACATTTTTAGGACTTTCATTAAATTAAATACAAAGTACCTTTGCTCCAGAAATGTGGGAGTATTTGGAATCTTTACTATCTCACTGCTGCATCCAATGTGGTACCAAAAGTTGGAGAATTTAGGTCAAGCGTGTTTTGGAGCTGTCGACAGGAGAGCCCTGATGGTTCATGTAAAACTGCAAATGGTAGATTCAGGTTGTTTTTAAAAACATTTCCTTTTATGCTGCCACATTCTTGAAATGTATATTAAAATTCAAATTGATTTAATAAATGTTAGTTTTCTAATTCTATTTTGCAACTGCTGAGGGCATCAGTGTGGCATATGTTGAACTTATTGTCTGACTGCTACTCTAAATACTACTTAGTCCAGTGATGACTAATTCTGTAATTGTTTAAATTAGGCTTGGCTTGCTTTGGTTTCGTTGCCCTCCTGGCTAGTTGTTCCTGAGGAGCTGAGCAGTGGGAAGGCTCAGCTCGGTGCTGGCAGGAACTGCAGTGGTCCCAGTTGGAAAGTGTCCTGGTCGGGGCCCTTCCTCCCCGTGGTCCAAGAGCAGAGGGAGACCTCGGCCCCACACCCCCAGAGCAGGGCCCTGCCCCCTGCCCATCCCGGCCTGGGAAGCACTGGGGACTCACTGGTGGCAGTTCAAGGATCAGTGGAGCTCCAGCTGGAATTCCCAGTGTTCCTCCTGAGGGACTGTGGATCTGGGGAACTGTTCTCAGCATTAGCACAGAGGAAGCTGCTCAGGGATTTCTTTTCATAGAGGGAAGTGTGTGATATTCCAGCTTTCTTCCCAGTCCTCTTGGAGACAGGGATTAACTTCCAAACCTTTATTAAAAACCCCATAATTTGTAGACCTGCATCAGAAAGAAAAAGCAGCAGTTCATGGTCCTGGGTAGTGTTTCAAAATTAGTGCTGTGACCAGCGAGGTCTGACCATGGTTTTCCAAGAAAATGAAGTTCTCCCCCTTCTCCTGGGAGTGGAGAGGCTCTTCCCACATATCACACACGGTACATGTTCCAAAATGTCCAGGGAAGGAGTGGATGCTGCACTTTGTGATGCTGTTCCATGGCCACGGTGGTGCTCTGGCAAAGGCTGGACTTGGGGATCCTGGAGGTCTTTTCCAACCTTAGTGATTCCAAGATAAATCAGTGGGGTGGGATTAAATCCCGGAGGGAGGAGGGACGGGGAAGTGCAGTGGCCCCTCGGCTGCTCTCCCACAGGGGCCATTCCCCCTCTGGCTCATGTGACCCCTGGGGGCAGAGCCTGGCACGGGCCCGGCAGTCTGTCCCCGATGTTCCTGCTGGCAGCACCAGCTGCTCCCTGGGCAGAACCTGCCCTGCCAGCAGTGCCCCCCAGGCAGCCCCTGCACACACCAGTGCTCAGAAAAACCTGCAGAGTTACACGGAAATCAAACCGGAGCAGCCTGTTTTCCCAGGCAGGTCCTTCTGGCACAGCAAGGAGCTGCTCCTCCAGGGAAACCCCCAGACTTTGAAGGAACAGCTCACAGAGATGTGGCCCAGGAATGGAGCAGATTCTGGCCTGATCCAGCACAGCAGCACCTTTTTACTGCAGGCAAGAAGCACCACTTCCCCCTCCTGCACTTCTTATGGATTTAAATTCTATACAAATCATAGTTATAAAACAACTTTTGATTGCTAACTAGCTTGAAGAGGTGAAACGAACCAAACAAGCAGAATCATTCCCAATGTGCAGCACAGCTGAGGAAATCTGCTCTGGAAGGCAGGTAATGCTATTCCTGGTGGTACTGAGAACATCACAGGCACATCTTTTGTCTTAACGAGTTCATTTTTCCAGTTAAAGTGCTTTTGATATTCTAAAAAAACCCACCAAAAGGTGACTGTGATACAGACACACTTGGGCACCCCCCTGGTGATGCAACACAACAACGCAGTGACTCTGCTTGAGCATTTGCACATAATAAAAATTAGAAAAGGCATCGCTGCTTTTCCTGGTTTTCCTTTTCACCTTTTTTTTTCCTTTTCCTCTTTGTTTTGTTTTGTTTTCCTTCATTCCACTTGCAAAAGATGCAGAGGATGTCTCCTTTTTTTCAGGCCAGGTTCAAATGAGGGAGCTTGGTGTCTTGGTAGGTCATCCCAGGGACAGTGCTCCGTGCTGAGGAGGAGGATGTGAGGCAGGTAAGTGGTCACTCTGCCTTGTCCCAGTGTTTGTGAGAAGAAAGCCTGGAATTCTGGCTTTGGCAGATGTGCTGATGTGAACTCACTAGAGCAGGGAAGGTGATTTTGGGACAGCAGCTGGAGATGAACAGTCACACTCTGCCCCACCACTATGGACAGGTTTTCCTTTTAAAACTCAGAAGTCCTTTATTTGCCAAAAAAAGAAAAAATTACGAAGTAAAAATACAAAGATCAAACCATGCCAGCACAAAATGTCTCCAAAACTACTTTTACAAAGTATGAGAACCATTATTATTTTTAAATGCTCAGTTTCCAAGCCCCTGCCCCAGTGACACAGCCAGGAGAGGAGCACAGAAGGGGAAGCTCTGTTCATGTTTTTCTTACAGTAGCTCGTGCTGGTCACTGAGGTTCAGGGGTTTTTGCATAGCCCTGATCTACAAACTCCAAATCCAGACTGTTAAAACCACACTTCCATGAGCCATTTTTTAGCCTTTCAGGCTTATTTTATTTCAGAAACTAAGCCCAGTACCTCGTTAGAGCATCTCGAGGGAGCTCCCTTAAACCCTTCCCTCAGGAGTGCAGGAAGGCTCTGGAATCCCTTTGCTGTCCCTGTCTGTGCCACTCCGAGGCGGGGGGAGCTGGGGCAGTGCCCGGGCTTTGCTCCCAGAGCTGGGATGCAGCGAGTGCCGCTGAGGGGTGGGAGGAAGGAAGCAACAATCCCGGTGGGACCGCGGCAGCAGCGACACTGAGCCGTGTCTGTGATGCCAGCACTGCACAGACACCACACGGGGGACACACCATCCAAAGCAGGGGGTTGGAAGGACAGAGGACGGAATTTGGCTGGACATCAGCAGACCAGAGAGAACAAACAAGCACAAAGGGATTTTTATCAAGCAAATCTGAATTTACTCACTTTTCTGGCCACTCCTAAGGAAACAGGGGTCCAGCTCAAAACAGAGCTCGGTGTGAGCTGGGTTTGCAAGGAAAAAGGCAGGATCTGGCCTTAAAGGGCTGCAGCATCTCAAGTGGCACCGACAGGAGGCAGAGGCAGAGCCGAGGGGGCTCCTCCAAGCCCTCAGGGCAGGGATTCCTTGGTTGCTTGGCTCCAGGAGCTGGCTGAGCCCTGAGCCTGCTGTGGGCATAGGCATCCTTGTCTTGACTATCCCAGAAAGAAAAGCTCAGGAAGTAGGATGGGAGTTCCCAAATTTACCTCACCTAAATCCTGCAGAGTTTAATCCTCCATCCAGAGCAGCTGTGGACAGGGCTGAACCCAAACAGGGTGCAGGAGACCTTCTTTCCTAAAGCATCTGTGCCTGCTGAGTTATATTTTCAAGTACATTGGTGACAGGCAATGGATTCCTGCTCCTGGAGTAAATAACTTAAATTCCTGCAGGTTTTGCACTGCCACCACAAAAAGAGTGACTTCTGTAACTTGTTCTAATATATAATACAAAACATTTGCTGCAAATTGTTTTCTTTCCTGGACTAGCTTGTGTTGACCTACCAGGGAGCAGGAATTGGGTTTGGATTCACTTTGCTTTGCTGTAGCAGCAGTGAAGCTCTGTCTGTAGAACAGAGGGCCTTTGGGGGCCAAAGGGCTCAGCAGAGCAGCTACAAGCTCCTGGGTCCACTTATTGAAGCCAAAGCTTGGGAAGGCAACTGGTGAGTTTTACCAGGCTCCAGGCACTGAGTTCTCCAAAGAAAGGCACCAGTCCAGGCTGGTGTGGTGGGAGATGGGAGCCTGGGCCCATGGATGGGTGGAGTTTAAGCCCCTCTGCAGAAGGAGGAAGAGCCTGAAGTGGGGGGTGACTGAGGCTGGAACACCCCAGTGCGGCTGGAGCTCAAAGCTGGTGATGCTGCAGGACCAGGGGGTTCCACTTGGGCCTAGAACAGGGTCAGGTTCTTCTTGCGCTTTGAGGAATCTTTGTCTTTGGAGAGATCTAAAAGGTTATCCCACTGAAAGGCCCCTCTGGGCACTGGGAGTCAAGGAAGGGCTCAATTCCTGCTCCAGGTTCTTCCCAGTAAAAGGTGGATGGAGCTGGGTACAACCAACAGTTGTGGGACTTCCATCCTGTGGTCATTCCCCAGGTTCTGCTGCATTTGGGCCTGTGTGGAATGAGCCCCAGGGAGGGTTTTCCCCTGCAGGTTCCAGCGATGGAGATGGATTCAAACCCACTGTGTGTTTGCTGCATTCCCAGAGGCTGCTCCTGCTCTGCTCACAGCTGGCATCATGGAATGCAAGTCACCTGCAGGGCCTTTGCCAACAACCTGGGCATCCAAAAGTTTCCTACATCCCAAGTCCAGGATCCTGGGGGTATATGTGCCTCTGGATAAAACAGCAGCTTTGGTCGGGAAAAAGGAACAGATCTCCAAGCCCAGTACAACTGAAAACCGGCTCTTGTTCAGATTTGGATCCTGAGGGAGATCCTGACCCCAGCGAGGCATCATCACATCCCAATGGACACTGGGAGGCAGGTGCTGGGCTCCAAAGGCTCCTGGACAAGCTGAGGCCACGCTGGAGTGATCAGCCCACGACTGATCTGGTGATTAACTCCTGGAGGTATCACAGGGATCAGTGTTCCCTTGTGCCAGCGTCTGTGGGGACACACAGGGGCTCTGCTACCTGGGGGGGCCTGCTGGGAGTGGGGATCCTGGGAATCCTGGCAGGGATGCACACAGGAATCCTGGCAGGGATGCACACAGGAATTCTGCAGGGATGCACA